CATTCTGATCCACATAAAATAATAAAAATTTGTTATCATCAATTAAAATACGCTCTCCCAAAAATAATTGGTGACATTATACCTTCTTGTTCATCCTCTTTGATTGCAACAATTCATTAAATTTTTTAAATAGTTAACAACAACAATAATAGTAACAATAGTGGATTATAGATGAGAGAGGAAGGGCTATCCATGATAATGGAAGATAAACTCTTGCTTGCAAATATTATTATTTATTTCTTTTTATTGTGATCAAGTTTTGTTATATAAACTTTATATACTAAATTTATTTTGTTTTCAAATTCCGTAATGATCATCAAGCCAATAAAATTTAATTTTTGCGTGATATATGGAAGGGAAATCGTCACAAATTTTAGCCAATGAAATCAAATGTCCATTATGCACGCAAATAAATATGTTGTGATAATCACCGGTGCGATGACCATCATCACCGGTGAGAAATAGCAATCCCTTAATTATTAATATATATATTTTAAATTGCTAACAAGATTTTTCCGGCTTCTGCATTGTATCGTCTGCAAATGAACTTTTTCGTATTAGTATTAGTACAACATCAAAGAAGTCAATGAAGACAAAACAGTTTTATGCGTGGGGAGAATTCATTCGAATGTTTTTTTTTCTTTTGAAAGGTCATTGATTCTCAAAATAGCGAAAGATATTGAATACCAGGAAATTGAATGATCCAGCCAATTTGGAAATCATTATATATGTGCTAATTTGTTCGAAAAAAAAGAACGAATGCCACATTTTAACAATCATTTATTAAAATTTTTCGCATATGCGCTGGCTGCCCTTTGCTATGTCTCATACTCAATTTATTTAATAATCCAACTTGCAACAGAATACCCAATGGTTATTACAAAATACAATTATAATTATATTTGAACCGGCATACCTTTTAGTAAGATTATTTTAGTATAGATAGATGGTCATCTTATACTGAAAATTCCCCTTATGTAAATTTTAATTATTATTATACTCAATTTTTCTAACAAATCTAAAGATCAGCTTCTTTAAAAAAAAATTGGCATTATCCGAAGAATAAATTATCAAAATTGCTAATCTTTTTGATACTTTTTAAATAGACTTACTGGATGTCAGTGAGATGGATAAAGCTGTTCGATCAAGACTTGAACTTGACTGGAACTTTATGCCTGGAATAATAGGACACGTTTCATTGGTAGAATTCTTTCACATAATTATTGATCGTTTTCCAGTTATTCATGTATGCTTAATTTTGTCATCTACTTTTAGATCAAGTTCAAGACAAGTATATATAAAAGCATACCACCTCTGGACGTTTCTGCCATCATTGGACTTGGGTCCAACTATGCAATTACTCCGAGATATGATTGCATAGTCAATTATTTTCCCCTTAACCAGAATCCACCTGTACCAGATGGAACCAATGGTTATTTTTCAGTTGCTGCTGGGGATTTTGTACAAGAAAAAGTTTCTGAAAAACGGCAAGTTAACAATATAGTTTAAACAGAGTATATTAGAAATATCACTATGAATACAATTTATTTATATTATTTATGAATCATAATATAGCACAACTACTATTCTAAGTACCATTGCATCAGCTGGTGGTGCCTTTGGTTTGTATATTTAAATTGAATAGCGTAACAAGTTAGAAATTGTATAAATCTTTCTTTTTTTTTCGGTAACCAATAGGTGTCATCGGAGCCATTCTTGTGTGTTTATTTGGATCCAGAAGTTTGGATACGTGGGGTTTTGCAAGAAGAATTTCAGTGAATCCATGATATTTGAAAGATATTTTGGTAAATTTTGGATATACAATGATAGGAAGACGACCAGAAAGTAAAACAATCGTTTTAAATGATGAACAATTAAATGCTGCAATTCCAAGAAAATTCTTGGATACTTCATTTTTTTTCAAATTCTCAAGGTTATAGTATTTTGATAGATCCTCGAGAACCTTAAGTACTACCATCAATAATAAGCATGGTAATTATTTTTTTTATTAAAACAATTAATAAACATGTTACTAATTAATTTCCACTGATTATTACTAACGATAATTAATAAACATTAGATTCTAGTAGTGAAAACATTGATAAGGTTGATGAATTAATTAACAATGGATGATTAATTTCACTATAATTGAGTATTATCTTTTTATTTAAAGCTAAATCATAATTATGTTGTAATAAATTTTTTAATTCTTGTTCCTGAACAGAAAAATATTTTGATAAATATTTTTTGGTTTTTCTCTATTGTTACTGCATTATTGAAGGTTTATTATCGCAAAGTAGCTTATTCATAATCATTTCCTATAATTTGACAATAATTATAAAAAGCTTTTGCGCATGATAAATTATGTATAGGTCTACATTAAAATTAGTTGATCCTGGAACATTAACCGAATTCCTAATCAATGATTTTATCTACCCAATCATGTATCACGTTATTAATATTAATATAAGAAATGTTAGAGTTTAGCAGTAAATGAGCGTGCTGGAGCTCAATTTGTATTCAGTAAAGAAAAACTTAGCTCCTTTGGAACAGTGTTGTGACCAGAAACTCTTTTGGCTTCCCGAAACGTTTCGGAAAATGAACTTACACTAAGCAGAAATCTAAACCTAAACCTAAACATAAACATAAACTACTAACCTAAACTAGTTTCGGGTGGTTTCTGTTAGTTTCTGTTTCTGGTTTTCCCTAAACTCAGAGTTTCGGGTCACAACACTGCTTGGGAACAATTTATGAAACAAAGGAGAGATTGGGATGCATGCACAAGAAAATATAAAAATAAAAAATTATATGATTTTTTTGTAAATTCAATTTCATTATGTTCAATAATGCCTCATTTACATTATAATCTAAATAAATCTTTTTTTTATCTGAGATTTGTGTAGAAATTCATTTCAAAGGTGCAGTGCTAAAAAATGCACCATCCATATTAATTGAAATGTAGAAAACAAAAACCGTCATGCAATGACATCTGGGAATGAAGATGAAGCAGTTAGAAAATAAGGTACAGTTCACTTTCTCTATAATGGATCTTTCCATAATAATAATGGACCGAGAATTTAAGCTAACTCATACGTCCATATATAGATTATTATTATTATTATTATCTACAGTAATCCAAATGGTCCATTACAGAGAGAGTAAACTGCAAATAGGAAAAATATTAATAAAATAAATATTCTCTAGATGTTAAACTAACGAATTTTGAAATTTTTAGAATGAAATACTTTGAACTGGGTTGGGATGTTTGAGCAAGTAAAATAACTTCTAGAAGTCTATTCAAGAAGAATAGATTCACTTCTGAAACAATAATTGCCGATCTAAAACAAAGGGTAGAAGCAGGGAGGTTGGATTCAAATGAGTTGCCAAAATAAAATCGGATAACACATTTAGTAGAAAATTAACTGAGAAAAAAATACGAGCCATTATTTTGTAAATTGCAGTATTATTATTATGCGTAATAGTAATATTAAAAAAGTTGATTTTTATACCCATAAGCAAAAATTGGCTTGGACAAAATTTTTTTTGATAAAAAATGTAGTGCTCATCATCAAATGCTGTGTCGAGTGCCCAAATTTTCAAATCCAAAGATATGATGTCACAATACTATAAAATCACATGACTTAATCATTTATTGTATATATTCGAATAAGGTTTATTCGAATTGTTATTATTACGAATTTGAGTATTCGAATTACAATGTGGGTTTATTGATTTTATTTAGATAGAATTCATATTAAACTCAACCTTGCAATTTCATATTACTTAAAAAATTTGTTGCCACATAATATACAGTTGTGTTGTTCGGGTATTATTGTAATATTACTGGTGTTGGGTGGTGTATACGCAATTGATTGAGTCATATGAAAAATATATAAATAATTGAGTCAGACGCAATTAAAAATAGAGATTTTGGGAAATGAGTCAAAGCCATATATTGACAATGCTTATAATACAGATGATATTGATTGAGATAACGATATTCATGATGTCGAAGGATATGGCATAATTGCTCTAAATTTTAATAAATGATTGTTAAAATGTGGCATTCGTTCTTTTTTTTCGAACAAATTAGCACATATATAATGATTTCCAAATTGGCTGGATCATTCAATTTCCTGGTATTCAATATCTTTCGCTATTTTGAGAATCAATGACCTTTCAAAAGAAAAAAAAACATTCGAATGAATTCTCCCCACGCATAAAACTGTTTTGTCTTCATTGACTTCTTTGATGTTGTACTAATACTAATACGAAAAAGTTCATTTGCAGACGATACAATGCAGAAGCCGGAAAAATCTTGTTAGCAATTTAAAATATATATATTAATAATTAAGGGATTGCTATTTCTCACCGGTGATGATGGTCATCGCACCGGTGATTATCACAACATATTTATTTGCGTGCATAATGGACATTTGATTTCATTGGCTAAAATTTGTGACGATTTCCCTTCCATATATCACGCAAAAATTAAATTTTATTGGCTTGATGATCATTACGGAATTTGAAAACAAAATAAATTTAGTATATAAAGTTTATATAACAAAACTTGATCACAATAAAAAGAAATAAATAATAATATTTGCAAGCAAGAGTTTATCTTCCATTATCATGGATAGCCCTTCCTCTCTCATCTATAATCCACTATTGTTACCGTTGTTGTTGTTGTTAACTATTTAAAAGATTTAATAAACGATTGAATTAAATGCTTACTGCTGGTTAATTCTAAACCACCATCTAATAATAACTATGATTGTTGCAATCAAAGAGGATGAACAAGAAGGTATAATGTTATTATAAAAGGGTGTTGTCTCGAATGTAAAATCCTATATAATAATAAATAGATTAAAAAAGATAATGGTTAAATATTAAAAAAGAAATGATGACAAAGTCTTAAACATTTACTTTTAATAAAATTTTGACCATTCATAATAATAATAAAAATAAAAATAATATATATAAAAGTAAAAAAATAAAAGTTACCAAGTTGACAGGTTTAAATAGATCATGGAAACCTTAAACTTTCATTT